CGCCTCTGCAACTCTACCAGTTCCCAAAGATCCTCTGCTAGGTTGCCCTCTTCTCATAATAATATAAAACGTAATAAAACATTATTTTAGTCAAAATCTGATATAATTAATCTCGAACTCAAAAATTATTATTTGGTTTAGTGTATCAGGACACTCACGTGATGATCTTCGTCGGCTTCGGCTTCTTGATGACGTTTTTGAGGCGGTGAGAAAATTGCTTTAGCGTATTTTTTTGCGAATTCACTATTGACCATTTTTTAATGAACGGAAGTATCAAATGTGATTGACGATAATCCACATTACATTTGTAGAATACCTTACTTAATTATTTACTGGAAAAAAGCTGCAACATAATTTTTTAATCGCAGCAATTTATTCCCTAAAAGGTTTTTTGTACTTTACTTTTACCAAATTTATAGTATTTCCAACCGCTAATTTTTATTAAATTATATAAGTTTCTTAAAACTAGAATAAGGTTACTTAAGTTTACCGCCGCAGCCGGAAATTTCGAAAACTTTTTCGCTATAACTTTTTTAGATTACAGTATTTTGGGCTGTATTAAAAATCTGAGTTTATCCGTTATCAAAATCCCGACAAATAGAGGAAATGTCGAAAAATTTCAGGAATTTCCGGCAGCCGTGGGGGTAAAGTAAAGTGTAGCCAATAATAATGATATTTTAATTTTTAGGTACGGCTTCTCGGCGCTGTCCATCAACCTCTTGCTGTCCGTAATCTCAATCGAATGGGCGTTGCTCATTCGCGGTTTTGTATCCGACGATTTCCGCGCACCTGGCAAATTCCAGATTGGACTCGAGAGGTTGGAGCATTTCGGGAAATATGTTTCAATTTTTTGGGCATGGACGCCCAGCCGACAAGACAGTAATCCGGTACCACATCCCCGGCGAACTTCCTCCTTTTAGTCGGTCGATGGCAGCTTGCCGACGGGCGATCCCAAAGATGAGCTGAGCAAATGATTTGTAAACAGCAAGAATTGTTCCCAAACCCCGTCCTCTTCGCCGCGCAGATCAATAATTGCCCGCCTCGCCAAATATCGCGCGCGCCAAATCTGAAATTGTCGTTCTAGCTTTGGTGGCTGCCTAATACCTGCCGATACCGGAACGTCACCTTGATTTGAGGTGGTTTCTTGTTAATATATTTTTTGATGCACTACCGGGTGGTGATGATATAATCCCCCAAAGTAATGAAATATTGAAACATCTATGGTATTAAATTACCCCCCCGCTAACGAACGAGAAACCGTTATTTTCATCTAGACATTTTACTTCACGAATTTTAGGCCCTAAATCCATGAAGACTGCAGATTTTCTCCAAAATCTGCATGCAAATTGATGGCTCAAGCCCACGGGATTAACCGCAATCAGACATGGCAAAACGGCCGCCGCGGCCGGCCGGAAGCCGCATGAAGGAAGCCGGTCCGCAATGACCAAATTTCGGCTTTCTCTAGCGTTTTTCTAACTTTTTAAAAAGTTTTCTCCGTTTCAAATACGCTTAAATTTTGCTAAAAACCATATGAAACCACTTTATGGGGGAAATATTATGAGGCTTTATAGATACGCGTTTTCGCAAAATCGATAAAGAAAAATTTGAGATTTGGGCAAAAAAAGTCCCCCTCCCCCACCCTCCCGGGAATACGCAAGAACCCGCATCCGTTATTTATTGAAAAAATTAGGCAGCCACCAAAGCTAGAACGACAATTTCAGATTTGGCGCGCGCGATATTTGGCGAGGCGGGCAATTATTGATCTGCGCGGCGAAGAGGACGGGGTTTGGGAACAATTCTTGCTGTTTACAAATCATTTGCTCAGCTCATCTTTGGGATCGCCCGTCGGCAAGCTGCCATCGACCGACTAAAAGGAGGAAGTTCGCCGGGGATGTGGTACCGGATTACTGTCTTGTCGGCTGGGCGTCCATGCCCAAAAAATTGAAACATATTTCCCGAAATGCTCCAACCTCTCGAGTCCAATCTGGAATTTGCCAGGTGCGCGGAAATCGTCGGATACAAAACCGCGAATGAGCAACGCCCATTCGATTGAGATTACGGACAGCAAGAGGTTGATGGACAGCGCCGAGAAGCCGTACCTAAAAATTAAAATATCATTATTATTGGCTACACTTTACTTTACCCCCACGGCTGCCGGAAATTCCTGAAATTTTTCGACATTTCCTCTATTTGTCGGGATTTTGGCTACAGAAATAAACTCAGATTTTTAATACAGCCCAAAATACTGTAATCTAAAAAAGTTATAGCGAAAAAGTTTTCGAAATTTCCGGCTGCGGCGGTAAACTTAAGTAACCTTATTCTAGTTTTAAGAAACTTATATAATTTAATAAAAATTAGCGGTTGGAAATACTATAAATTTGGTAAAAGTAAAGTACAAAAAACCTTTTAGGGAATAAATTGCTGCGATTAAAAAATTATGTTGCAGCTTTTTTCCAGTAAATAATTAAGTAAGGTATTCTACAAATGTAATGTGGATTATCCTTAATCACATACTTCCGTTCCTTTAAAAAAATGGTCAATAGTAACGTAAAAAATACGCTAAAGTAATTTTCTCACCGCCTCAAAAACGTCATCAAGAAGCCGAAGCCGACGAAGATCATCACGTGAGTGTCCTGATACACTAAACCAAATAATAATTTTTGAGTTCGAGATTACTTATATCAGATTTTGACTAAAATAATGTTTTATTACGTTTTATATTATTATGAGAAGAGGGCAACCTAGCAGAGGATCTTTGGGAACTGGTAGAGTTGCAGAGGCGGGCAGACTAGCAAAGATTTATTGGGGCTTGGCGAAAGCCTGCACGCCTGTAACGCCACCCAGACGATTTATTCAAACACGGAAATCACAAGGAGAATCATCACAATCACAAGGAATTCAATACACATACACCGATACATCTATGCTGGCAAGATTTAGGTTAGCGGGCGGCTGGCGGTGGTAGTTGAATGCAGCGAAGTTCAATTCTTGTTCGGCATGGCGCCCTGAATAGACTTATATACGAATATTGGGCCGTCTTGCATCCGATCAGCACCAAATTTTTACTAGTGTTGGGGGCCCATAACAGCTATGTGCAGCCGAATTTTCTAAGCAAAATATTGTAAAAGAAAAAAGTTTTAACGCCTGCCCGCCTGTAACGCCACCCAGACGATTTATTATTCGAACACAGGACACACAGGAACAAAGGAAAGGAAATACACGGATGCTAGCAAGATTTAGGGTTTTGGTAGGGCGGCTCGAGGTGGTAGTTGAATGGATCGGGCATCAGTTGGTGTTCGGTACGGCGCCCAGAAAAAGCGGAATATAGGAATATTCAATATAGGAATCTAGACTTCAGGACAATATCTACTTTGAGGCGCTGATCATTTTTGTAATACTTTGCGAAGCGCGAAAATGACCGGAACATAGGAATATCGCGTAGTCCAAAAAGGGTTTTTCCGGGTTTTCGTCAAGATGGAAAGTTTGCTGTAAGCTGAAAGTCATATCAAAAGATGCGCAAAAATTTTAATCATTTAAATTAAACCTTTTTCATAATTTTTACCAGTTTGAGGGTTTCTGACCACGCTCTATCCGAATCTGAAGAGAGCTAACAAGGGAACCACCTAAGGTCAAGGTGGCCTTTCGTTATGGGACGCAGCTTATTTTGTGCAGAATTTTTTGCTGATTTCGAATCCGCTTTTATTTTTTGCTAAATAGCCCAATTTAAAAAGTTATAGCGTTTCAAAGTTCCATTTTTTCCCAAATTTTCGAACTTCAAAGTCATTTATCTTGCCTTTCCCGTCTGATTCCTCAAAAACGAATATCGCCATCGTATTCAGAAAAATTTTCTCTATCGAATGAACTATTTAACTTAAAATTGTTGAAAATTGAAAAAATCGACGATTATGGACATATATGGACTCCGTTTTTTGTATGGGAAATGGTGAAAAATTGCCTATTTCACACCCCCGTAAGTGATCGTCAATAGGTCGTAGCGCACTAATGAAATATACCAATCGAATCAGAAAAAATTTCTCTACAAGATAGGCTATTAAAAATCGACTACCCTTTTAAAATAAAAAAGTTGGGCATCGTGACAGATGACTTCCCGCGGGCACAGATATGACCTTAAAATCGCCATAACTTTTTAAATTGGGCTATTTAGCAAAAATTGAAAGCGGGTTCGGCATCAGCAAAAAATTCTACACAAAATAGGCTGGGTCCCATAACGAAACGCCACCTTGACCTTAGGTGGTTCCCTTGTAAGCTCTAGCTCCTTTCCCCTTCGAGTTGAATCCGGGACCACACAAATACATTAAAGGGATGCCGACGGCATAGACAATCGGTTACGCGCGGAAAAGAAAATGTCTCTGCGCCTCTCCCCTGGGCGCGCTCTCTCCCCTGTTGGCTACTTGCCAATTTGTTGATGAGGGGGGATCGACACATGCCGTCGGCAACCCTTTAAGAGAGTCAGCACTACTTATTTATTATTTTCCACAAAGGGGCATTTTTTCGTAACATTAAAATTCAACCGACTCGGATAAATGGCGGTGACGGTGGGCGGGTTCTCCGTATCCGGATTCCCACTTGAGGGCATCGACTCATTGTCGTAGCGGGCGAAAATGCCGAATAGAATAAAGAATACAATCTGTAACACAAGGAACTCTAGAAATCTTAAAAATTCCACGATTTTAGGCATTAAATTTTTGTGTTTCACGAAATTGTTCAGATATTTGATGCGTGGCTGCGGCCCTTGAATCTAGACTGTACGTTTCTTTCACCGCCGCATTTTAACAGAGCGTCAAGATTTTTTTACTAATAAAAATAGTTAATTCAACAACAACAACAAAGCGACCTCGGCGACGACGTTCGGCCGGCTTCTCGCTTCCTCCTGCTCGTCTGCCAGTGTAACGAAATAATGAATAACTACTAATACAACGAAATAATGCATAAAGTTATTTATTTATGCTCGCCGCAATCAATACCAGTATTTCGTTTCATTCCCGGGCCGTGGCCGTCACTCTCTCAAAATCCTCTGGGATCTCGAAGAATTCGGCATCCGAGTAGTGGGCCTCGTCATCGAGTTGGCGCCAGAACTTTAGTCGAAGAAATAAGCCTGAAATAGCACGCAATTTTTTACAAGAAAGGTGCTTTACGGCTGTCCAAAGCATTTGGAAACTGCAAAAGAAAATATTAAACTCAACGCTTTTCTCCTATTTCGTAGCGTTTAATTTACGAAGTTTCAGGCGCTCCTAAATTTTCTATTTTGTGCGGCTCCTTAGCCATCATTTTTGCGCGCATTTGAGTACTCTATGTAAAAAAGCATAAAATTAGCCAAATTTAGTCGAAATAAATATTAATGAAAATCATTAAAAATAGCATTAATCGAGAAAATAACGCTACGAAAGTACATTACATTACCTGTCAGCGCTCCGGAAAGTAAGGAAGCGCCGAGGATGATGAACATTGCGGCGAGTTGATGAGTTGCCTGAATAGCATTAATTACAAACATTCAATAGATTGTAGCTGTTTTAGAATGATGAAAGGAGTGAATGCGGCACCTTTTTCTCTGAAAACCGCTTCGAAAAAATTTGTTAAAGCCTGACCCCCAACCGTTCCACTTGAGATTTTTTGCGTCAGAAGTGCCGATCTTTTTCATTTCACTTTTAAGAAATTCCCGAGTAACTTTAAGATTTCACTTTTTTACCTGAACCCCATACGAATAGCCGCGACCTCCGCTACCAGTCGATCGAACTCCCGTGTAGATATTGTTGATGCTGAAAATGGAGCAAGTTTTCGGGAAAGTGCTCTAAGTCGCTGTAATTGAAAATCAGGACTCACAAGACTAACGATTTTTGGAAACATCTTTTGGTTTTCGTTCTGGTTCGCTAGCGGCCCCCCCACGCTAGCGAACAAATTGCGAACAAAGGGTTTGAGCCTGTGCAAAACGGGCTGCTAACAGTAAAGTGTTTTTGGTCAGGATGGAAATTCTGGATGATACCAAGCTTATCTTGTGCAGAATTTTTGCTGCTTCCGAATCTGGTTTCAGAATTTGCAGAATGTCCTTATTTCAAAAGTTACAGCGCATTTTAGGGTGTTTTCGGGGCAAAAATTGCATCTTTAAGCCCCTGTAAAAATCGTAAGAGACAAAATAAGCAAAAATTGATCTTGCTCAGCAAAAAAAGCGCTTTCAGATGAAGTATCTGAGAAACTTTTTGTTCGATGTTTCAAAGAGAGCCGGTTCAACAGCATGGGTGCCGGACAGGGACGTAGCGTAATACCGGCCCCGGGGGCCCGCCCCCCCCCCCTGCCCCGAAATCGGCCGGGGCCCGAAAATTTCATAAGGGGGGACCCTTATGATTTTTATTTTCTCAAAAATTTTGCTGCCTGCGGCGCTATTTTTTCACATTTTTACGGCTATTTATAGAGCTACCAGCGCCCAAAACCCGCTTCGCGGGCCCTGGGCGCTGGAATCAGGCGTTTGCATGAGAAATTTGACTTTCCGATAGCTCGGGTCCTTCGGACCCCTCCCCTCTGCCGACCAAACCGGGGAGGGCAACTGGCAAGAATGAGGCAATTTGTATTTTTCGCATTATGCAAATTACCCCCAAAAATGAATAAAACCGGCTTTAACTTTGTAAACTTGTATTTTATCGAAATTCTGAACACACCATCGGAAACAGAAGGGTCGATTCCCGCGGGTGACGGAGAATTAGGGCATTTTATGCACGGGAAGGCCCTCAAATCGGGCCTCGAAAGTGACATCCACACACACACACACACACAGAGATACACCCCAAAATTATATAAGGTAGGATTGTAACCTTTCTTTCAAAAATTTTTGCCTGCGGCGCTGTTTTCCGTTAATGTTTTGAGATTGTTGGAAAATTTTTTGGGGGCCCCCCGAAATTGTTTTCTGGCTACGCCCCTGGTGCCGGACCATGCATTTGTTGAAATTCATAGTGATTTTCAGAAGTTAGCGCAAAATGTTGGTATGGCACCTCATCTAAAGCGCTAGAGAGAATTTTTAGTTTTCTATGATATTCCCCCATTTCGGCCGATTTTTAGGCATCTATCGAATGCTCGCAGAAGGGCCACTCCGGCAGTGCTCTTCGATTTTTGCAATTTGGGAATGTTGCTTAAATGTTCTTATATTTTGCTAAACGCACGAATTTCTGATGCCTTTCCGATATATAGGGTTTCTTTGCAAAAATCCTAATTTTAGCAATTTTTAACCCTTTTCTCGCAACCCGACGACCGCTTTCGGAAAGCGATTTGAGAAAGCGGATCTGGTGTGGCGCGTAAGGCGATTACATTCACTTTTTGTGAAATAAACGTGTTACGTTCGCATGAAAAATGCCAAAATCGAGCGCAATATTCGCGAATCTCGAAGATCTGAGAGAAATGCTAGAGAGGTCTCTAAGTCCTCGGAGGGCTTTTGATAGAGTCCTATATTGTCAAAATCGAACACGATTTGGCGCGCGCGATATCTGGCATTACTGTCTTGTCGGCTGGTCGTCCATGCCCAAAAAATTGAAACATATTTCCCGAAATGCTCCAACCTCTCGAGTCCAATCTGGAATTTGCCAGGTGCGCGGAAATCGTCGGATACAAAACCGCGAATGAGCAACGCCCATTCGATTGAGATTACGGACAGCAAGAGGTTGATGGACAGCGCCGAGAAGCCGTACCTAAAATTAAAATATCATTATTATTGGCTACACTTTACCTTACCCCCACGGCTGCCGGAAATTCGTGAAATTTTTCGACATTTTATCTATTTGTCGGGATTTTGGCTACGGCATTGACAAAACAGACTCAGATTTTTAATACAGCCCAAAATACTGTAATCTAAAAAGTTATAGCGAAAAAGCTTTCCAAATTTCCGGCTGCGGCGGTCAACTTAAGTGACTTTATAACTTATATAGAAAATATATATACTAAGAAACTTATATTATTTAATAAAAAATTAGGGGTTTGAAATACTATAAATTTGTTAAAAGCAAAGTACAAAAAACCTTTTAGGCATAAATTGCTGCGATTAAAAAATTACGTTGCAGCTTTTTTCAAAATAAATAAATAAGTAATATTTTCTACAAGTGTAATGGATTATCTGTTGCTTTAAATTTCGCCAGTAAATACTTAATTTTTACTTTTTTGTTTAATTTTTAGATGTTTTTTGTCATTGCCATTCTTTCCGAAACATTCTCGTGATTTTTCGGGTTTCCGTTTTTGTCTTTATCCTTTCCTTCCCTTTTGATTCGAACGTGCCACTGGAAAACCGAAAATCCACGGACCAGAAATTATCGATTAACCGGGACTAACCGCCGCCATTCAATCTATCGTACTTTCGCATCTACCAAAAAACTGTCCCTTGTTAGTCCAAAACGATAAAAGCTAAACTCAAAAAAAGGGAAAACTCAATTTTTATAATCGCCATCGTCGAAAAATTTCTACTTGTAACGACCTTAACATGTATTTTTAAAGGTTTTGCGTATTAGAAAAATGTAATACTTATGAAAAAAACTTCGGCTTTCCCTGCCCCGGATTACGCCCCCCCCATAATGCAAAAGTACCCCTTTTCAAAATTTCTGTCGAAACAGCAAACACAACGATCATCCGCTATATTTCAAAAACTGTACAACCGGCTACTGTATCCATTCGGATCGGGTCTAAGGCCATTTTTTCCGCAACGTTTTCCTGAATTTGTCTGGTTTCGATTTTTGTCGTCATCCTTTACTTCCCTTGTGATTCGAAAGTGCCAATGGAAAATTGAGAATCAACGTACCAGAAATTATCGGTTAACCGGGACTAGCAGCCGCCTTTCAATCTATCGAGCTTCGAGCTTTCGCCTTATCGGCCTAAACTACTTTTAAGTTATTATCGATCAGACGATTTTCGATCAGGCGATTTTCGATCAGGCGATTTTCGATCAGGTGACTGGGAACCGGGGGGATCACACCTCAGAAATTAAAAATTTTGCTAAAAAATACGAAATCGTCGTGGTAAATTTAATAATTTTGTTAGGTTTTTCGATAGTTTTCAACTGAAAATATAGTTACGTTTTATTAAAAACCCTCAAAATCGTCAAGTTTTTGTGGGTTTTGTGTTGATTTTTGCTGATAATTTTGGTGTGCGAATGAACCTTACGACCCGACGGGGTGCCATTCAAACTTGTTTAAAATTATTATTGCTATTCATTCTGTAATTAGGTTAAAGCAGCTTTTAGGCAAAAACTTTATCGCTGCTTTTCAGCCAACGGTGAAACACACTTGTTGACAGCGGCATCGCGACTAGGAAACTTGGTGAAATATTGTGTTTTAGGAAAGATGGGGTAACCGCCAAAGATACAACGAGCACTACAAAGAATTGTATGTCGTCTTTCAGTATATTCCAGTATTTCATCGTCACTTCACTTTTTTTTATAGGTGAGTCCCATAAAAAAGTGAAGTTTGGGTCAAAATATCTGGCGAACGGAAGCGAATCGGACCATCGCTACCATGCCCGAATGCTTAAATATGATGGGCATGAAGAATAAACGCAAGTTGTTTTTACGATTTTTGACCGTCGTTAAAGAGATGAGGACGGCATCTGTTGACCCCCTTGGGGAGGGGGGTTCAACAGATGCAGCGGCGAGAGAGGGCGCCCAGGGGAGAGGCGCAGAGACATTTTCTTTCCCGCGCGTAATCGATTGACCAATGCCACCCCTATCCCTTTAAAAAGTTTTAATTTTTGAAAAGTAAAAAAATGTGAAGAGGAAAATCATGGCTATTTTCATGAGTTAGGGGGACATGAAGGGTATCAAAATGAAGCTCTCGGAATGCGCTATCAAACCACTAGTCAAAAAAAATATCGATCGGTTTAACGTGCCATCTATAGGAGCCTTCGGAAACTCCGGACTTTTGAGTTGACCATAGAAAGCATATTGCCAACGTAACTATAGAAGCGTGGAACTTTTCAGAGAAAAAGGTGCCGCATTCACTCCTTTCATCATTCTAAAACATCTACAATCTATTGAATGTTTGCAATTAATGCTATTCAGGCGACTCATCAACTCGCCGCAATGTTCATCATCCTCGGCGCTTCCTTACTTTCCGGAGCGCTGACAGGTAATGTAATGTACTTTTATAGCGTTATCTTCTTGATTAATGCTATTTGAATGATTTCCATTAATATTTATTTCAACTAAATTCGGCTAATTAATTTTTATGCTTTTTGCATAGAGTACTCAAATGCGCGCAAAAATGATCGCTAAGGAGCCGCACAAAATAGAAAATTTAGGAGCGACTGAAACTCCTTAAATTAAACGCTCGAAATAGGAGAAAAGCGTTGAGTTCCGGATTTTATTTTTAAAGTGAAATGCTTTAGACAGCCTTCGAACTCTATTCAAAAAATTCCAGGTCTTTTTCTCCGACTAAAATTCTGGCGTCAACTCGATGACGAGGCCCACTACTCGGATGCCGAATTCTTCGAGATCCCAGGTGATTTTGAGAGGGTGACGGCCACGGCCCGGGAATGAAACGAAATACTGGTATTGATTGCGGCGAGCATAAATAAATAACTTTATGCATTATTTCGTTGTATTAGTAGATATTCATTATTTCGTTACACTGGCAGACGAGCAGGAGGAAGCGAGAAGCCGGCCGAACGTCGTCGCCGAGGTCGCTTTGTTGTGGTTGTTGAATTGTGAGGACTCGTTGGACACCTTCTTGACGACGTTGCAGAACCTGAACCAAATATTTGAGCGACGGAAAATCGGACGCACCTTAGAATTTGTTGGGCAGATTTCGGTTGGCCATGAGCGTCTCGCCGATGAGCAGCGAAGGGCCGCTGAACAGCTGATAAGGCTGCGCGGTCAGCAGCTTCCCGGGTGGCTAAAAAAGAAGTTAGCGTGCGCAAATAAAAATCTCAAAATCCCCCAAAATTTTAAGAACACGCAACAAGGGGCACTCCGGTAAATTTTAGAATTATATGATAGTCATTTCAGGTCACTAGGTCCACTCCGGTAAATTTTAGAATTAGTAGAACCAGGAGAATTTACTTCTAAGTTAAGCCGAGGCCGGCGGCGGCAAGTGGAGCTTTGGCAAAGCTAACAAGTAAGGGAATCCTCAGATTCGGCTAGCTAATAGAGTGAGAACGCATGGAATTTGCCGAAAATTACCATAAACTGTTGCCCCGACTGCAATAGCGCCAAACCACCAGCAAGCCGCGACATTTTAGGAGTAAAAAGAGTCAGAAATCGACTTCAAAATGAGAAATTCAATGGCTATCGAAACCACCCTAAACCAACCTTAATTGGCGGTGGCGCGGCGGCCCTCGGTTCCACCGTCGGCTCGGGCATGTAAAGATTCGGCACATCGATGCGGCTCCGTGCGTCGGCCGCGGTTTCCGAGAAGTTGAAGTGGGGCCTGAAGTGAAAAATGGGAAATCAGTAAATGTCTCTATGTACCGATGAATGTCTGGGACGAACGTTGGCCAGTCGCTGAGCAGCTCGGAGCGCGTTGGCGGAAAGATCGGCTGGAACTGAAACAAAAAGAGTCAGAATTCGGTTCTGACTCTTAGCGGGGGGGGGGCGGTAAAAAAGAACTTTCCCTATCGTCTATAAAAAATTTGTTAGCAAGATATTATATAAAAAAATTAAGTGAGTTTCCACCTCCGCCAAGTGGCCAGAACCCAGAATTCCAACAAAACACACCTCAATCCCTGGTGATGGACCGCTTGGCGTTGGCCAGGGCATGGCTAGAACCTGGCTGTAGATGTCGTCCTTTGGCGGCTCGGGCATCGACAGAGAGACGACCGGCGGATGGCTTATTCCAGGCGGGAATACGTTCGTCACCGGCGATTGCTTGACAGCCCTCGGCACATACTCGGTAGTTTTCTTGGGCAACGAGTTGAAACCGGGCGGCGTGCCGCAACCGAACGGGCGGTAGTCGTCCAGCTAGATCATCGGCGCCGCGGGTTTCTGGAGAGAAGCCATCGGGAAAGCCGCGAGTTGTTGGTCCTTTTGTGGCGGCGGTGTGGCGATTTTCGGCAGCAACGTGAACGTGCCGGACACCTGTAAAACACAGACCTATTAAATTTTTAGAATTTGTCCAAATAACTTTTTTTTAAGAACAGAATTTCAAAATTTTTGCGTCCAACTACAGTAGAGGGCCACAAAGGGTTAGAAAAAGCAAAGCAAACCATGCGAAATTCTGTTTTTCGAAAGTTTTTTTGTACTCCAAAAATAGGACAGTTCTCCACAAAAAAACCAGCTTCATAGTGTACCTTCGGTGCAGCAAGTGGCGGCAGCATCGGCGACACCAGCGGCGTCTCATAGTTGATGCCACTGCTGTTGACGGACGTCTCGCATTCGTGCACGTACTAAAATCGAGTTATTTTGCGACGTGAAGATACAAAAACCTCTTCCCAACTATCCACCTCATCGGGATCGCCGTGCAGCTGGACGCGATAGCTCTTCGCCGGAGACTTGGGCACCGCGGAACGCGCGGGTGCGGTCGGTTTGGGCGGTGGCGCATGGGTGATTGTTGGCGGTAGCAGCGGCGGCAACGGAGCAAGAGGTGGCAGCGGGGGAAGTGGGATCGATGGCTGTTGAGTAGATGTCAGCTCCCATTGACTCATCGCCACCTGGGCGCTGTACTGCTCTAGCTTGTCGCCCTGAAAAGATGGGATGTAGACTAGGTGCTGAATACGGGTTAATTTAAAAATGTCGAAAATTCAAACCCCAGGAATCAGAGAAATTTCGATATCATGAAATGTGGACCTTCTGAATTTCGCACTTATCATAGCAAATAGCCGAATAATGCTTTTGTTATCCTGCGTTTTCAGTTAGAACGATATTTTCCGAATACTCAATTGTTGATGAATACGACATTTTTCTAATCTGGACAGTCAGATGAGTCACTCGAAAACAATGGGAATTTTTTGCTAACAACACCGCAGCCGGCCCCGAGAACGACTCGTAGATAGAAACAAAAAATCTCATCAAAATATTACCAATAGCTTGGTGAACTGCTCCGGGGGCATCGAAGCCGCCGTCGGGGTCGGAGTTGGTGTCGAGAACGGGCTGAGGCCCTTGGTGTTGTCCGTCCTGTCAATGCCGCCGGCAAGGGTGTTGAGACTAGCCGCCACAAAGCGGCGGCTGGCAGCCTAAAACAGCAAAATTCGTATGGTAGAAATGGTAGAAAAATAAATAAAATAGCGCAAACTGCAAGCCGGGGTAGCCCAAAGAAAAAAATCTAGTGCAAAACGAAAAATATAGTCAAGATCAAAAGCAAAATTTGCCTAGAAAAATTAGTTGCGAGCTATGAAACAAACGATGATTCTGATCCGAGCTCCAGCAACTAAAAAAAAACATTTTCCTCAGAATTTAGAGGAAAGGCATTATTGTTTTCCCGATTTCAACAAAAAAAAATACCGCTGAATCCGGGCGCGACTTGGGCGAATGTGGAGCCGACGGTGGCCGCGTCTTGGGTTGACTTGGCGGCGGGCTGGGGAATATTGGCGAAGTGCGCGAGGTAGGCGTCTTTTTGCCTAAACAAAAAATAGATAGATTTAACGCCTTCCGGCTAACCATTGGCGCCACGACGACAAGCCGCCGCAGCGAACGACTTCTTGAGCGGGGCCGGCGGGGGAGCAGGCTCATATTTGCGTTGCAAAGCCTAAAAACTATTCTGAACAATCCGGAAATACATACCTCCGCAAAAGCAGCTTCCGACCCAGATTCGTAACACGATTCGGAGAAAAGCCCAGAAGACTCTAAAAAAGTAATACTTTATGTGAAAAGGTCATACGGTTTCTTTCCCGTGTCACTGGGTCGCCCATATCGAGGGCTCCGAGGCGGCTGGAGTTGCGGGAACGTCTTGCGATTCGCGACGAGTGTAGAGGTTCTGAAATTAGAAAAGTACTTGATAAATCGTGCTGTGAATACCGGCGAAGATTCGCTCGCGTACGATGAGTCCGATTCGGCATCGGAATAGTTGCGATGGCGACGTTTCCTAAATACAAAAGTTAACGTAGAATCGAGACCGTCACGATACATACAGATCAGAATTCAAAAATGCAATCACCTTTCCTTCGGCTCCGGAAACAGCGTCTGCCCTTTGATGGCGTGGTTGAGCCGCGGTAAAGCGTTCTCATTTTTCTTCTTCTTGCACTTCTGCACGGCGTTTAGCTGTTCCTCGAGCAGTTTTTCGCGCTTCTACAACAAAAATTTCAGAATGCAAACAATTCACACCTCGCGCAGAACATCGTGAGCCTCGTCACGTAACACGAGTCCGAGCCCGCATCGACATCTAAAAACAAGGGAATGCATGATACCAAAATCCAGAAAGTACCTGCAGACTTTTCCTACAAGCGCCTGGCCCTTCTTTTCCCAAAGATTTTGCCGGCGCTGTTTGTCCATCCAGCCCCTAAAAAAAGTATAAAGTTTTAAAGGGGAGCTAAAAAGCACCTGGATTTGAAAGGACCTTGACGAGGTGATCCTCGTATTCGTCGAAGCACTTGTCGTGAACCAGTTGTTTCGAGTATGGGCATTCATTCTTGGTGCATGTAAATCTTCTGCCTTCCTCTCCCTCGGGCACTGGCACTAAAAAATGTCTTTCAATTAATTTTCCTTTTCTATTTTCTTTAATAATTTCTAACTGGGGTGACAAACGCTTACCTAGCAAAATTGCCAGAGTTTCATAGTAGTTTTTGGTTACTAAAATATCACAAAAAACTATCAGAAAATTCAAATAAGCGCTATTTTGGACCAAAAATCCACTTTTCAAAAAATCAAACTGTCTAGCTAGCTAAATGGTGCTTATTTTCATTATTGAGGCACCACGGAGCGATGGGCCAACGTTAGGCATCAAACAGTCAAAAGTCAGTAGTTTTTAACGCATATGAAAATACATCAAGATATCCGAGAAAGTTAATAATCTAAAACACACCCTTCCAACCACGGTATCGGGTATCGGGCAGCCGGCTTGCGGTTCGGGCTCGCCGTGTCGCGAATGATGGTGATGGTTGATGTGGTGGGTCTTTGGATGGTGATCCCGATCCTTTTGCTAAAAAAACAAAACCAGTGAAAAAGCCTAGAAGCGGTACCTGGGCATTGGCGCGTTTTATCTCCGCTCTTCGACCCATTGTGGCTCGCTGATGCGCAGATGATTCTCGCGGCTTCGAGAAAGGCAAATTGTGGCAGACGAGGTTCACTGATTGTCGATCGCCCGGCTGAACTGTAATGAAATTGATAGCAAACTGGTGAGTCAGCCATTAGAGAAAGAGTAACACGTAAGGATAGGGCAACTGACGATCAAGTAACGAGCTTTAAAAGACTTTAATACTTTTAATAACTAAATAATAAAAATAATAAAAATCTAAACAAACAAACAAACAAACAAACAATAATATCTTAACAAACGCTCCCAGCACTTCAGCGTATAAAATTTTCCTAAGAAAATGTGCATACTTATTTTCTTTATCGAACTATCGCGGCGATTTTGGAAATACGATCAGGGGAACGCTTTGAGCGAAAGAAGAGCGGGGGCCCTGGGGTAGGCCCCTCTCGTGCGCGCTTTCCCATAGATCTGACAGGCGGTGATACTGACGAATCATGGGCTGTAAAAACCGAAGAGTATTAAAGTTCGACGGATATTTGTATCAAATGAACCCAGCAGGCGGGAGGGTGGGGCGGCAAGGGGCGTTAATTGCGACAAAAATTGCAAAAGGCCGGCCACCCACATAGTTATCGGGTCAGTTATGAAGTGTAATTACGTAAGACAGCGTGAAATATTACTATTGGGCGAACTTGGACTCCCCTCCCCGGCTAACCGTCCAATAAATTGCATGCAACCAAAACCTTAAATTTGCATGTCTTGCTGCGAAGTGAGCTGCAGAGAAATTGACCATTTTCTCGCTCTACCCGTCGGCGCGCCGGCCCGGCCGTCAATGCCATCGCCCTTCGGCGAAGTAAGTTAACTTTGTCGTTATCCGGCTAATTTTACGCCTTTAGACGGTCCAGGATGCAAACTTACGCGATTACTGCAAACCCTGTGCTCGGTCGGTGTTTGAGCTGAGGCCCTCACTGCTCCCCTTCGTCTCAGCCGTCGGTTTTTTGGAGTTTCCTACTATATATAAAAAATTTTGATCAACAAGCCAACATTTTTCGGAAATTTTTTTACTTTTCTTCAGTTTTAAAAACTAAAGTTGAGTTTATTGTCAAAAGTGATGATTGCAGATGTGGCAAGCTCGCTACCTTTTGCGTCGAGGCGAGATTCGCCTGCGTTCTGAGCAAGAGAGGGTTGGCACACTATTCCTTGCGTTACAATTGATCTGCTCAGCTCGAGTATCTCGTTCTGCGCCGCCAAGCGGAGCTCGAGAGGGCGCAAGGCGGCGTCTCCCCTGGCTGGCGACGATTGGCTCGTCTCAAACGTGGGTTTTCGGATTTCTCGTTGACTAATTAGGGGAGATATGACCCGTATATGGTCCCTAAATGAATTTCGGATTTTTTAATCTCAAAAGGCTCAGCAGATCGAAGTTTGCAGCTTGAACTTTTTCCTGTAAGTCAAGGGACGCACAGAGGAAAACGATCATTGCTTCTAAAATCATTACGGCTAAAAGTCATTAGTTCTAAAAATCATGACTTTTAAAAAGGCTATTACTAAAAGTTGGTACGTCGGATTATCAGTTTTTCGGCACGTTTGGCCATATTTATGCCTAAATCGACACTTAGAATGTTAGAAGTATGACCTTGTGAAGTAGTGGTTTTAGAAGCAATGACATTTAGAAGTAGTTGCTTTTACGCACAGACACACCAATATCGCCGAGGCACACACCCACGCCAACATTATCAAAGAACAAAATAAACGACCAAATCAAATGGATAGATAGACTTTGTTTGGTGCATGGAGCGCGAAATACAGGTCTGAACACGCTTTTTAGGGCACCGTTTGAGGAACGCGTTGAGATGGGCGAGGACGAAATTATTGAAGGTCGACCGCGACGCCTCGTATTCCACCAGCAGCACTACCCGGACAGGAATAGTAGGCGTCAATTTTATTGGGAAGCAGCTTCACATAAAATTCGGTTCTCGACTATTGATGCGCGGCCAGACCAAAATCGCTTTTCGGGCTTTTTTTGAGAATTTTTCTTTATATTTGTTTCGGCTGTTCTAAACATGATAAAACCACCCCGGGTTTCATTGCCCCCTTGAATACTGATGAACCCAATTATCTAGTGCCAAAATTTAGTTTGTTCTACAAGCGTTTTTCGTAGTTTGGCCTAACGAAAATTATTAGAGAAGCAGCTCCAAATCAAGTCCTTCGTAATACGCAATTTTATGCTATTAATTACAGCCGACCGACTGTTCTCCTACGACGTCCAAGACGGCCAGGAACGTGTCGTCTCCTCTCACTCCAACAATGGCCCAAACAGTCTCCACTTCTTCCACGCCCACCACGGCTCCGACGGTGTCCTCGCCAATCATTACAACCACGGCCACCATCCAGCCGGTTAAGGTGAGTCGAAACTCGTTGTGAGTCGAAACTCGTGGAAAATTTGTAAAGATTCGACGCTCAGGAATAGCAAAAACTTTAGAAACATGTCCTCTATTCATATTAGAAACACTGGATCCTAGGCAGGAATTTGGTCCCCCCGATATGGCGCCATTACCCAATACGAAGTATTATATTCGATTAATTGCAGGAAAATCGACACGAAATGCCCCTCGACAAGAACGAGACGAGTTTCTGGACCCGGATTCTACTGCTCGGATGTGCCGTGTTCCCATGTTGCCGGAAGCTACCCATTGAAGTTCGAATTTCTCGGTGTCTCAATTCGAATCTCCAAACTACTCTCTTCTAGCCTCCCCTTCCTCAAAAAAATCCCCGAATTTCAGGAATGTGCTGTACCCGACGATGTCGAGGTGTTGCCCCGAACTACCGTCATCGATGAAAAAGAAAAGCATCCAGAAAATGCCCCCAAGGTATCGCTTTTCTAACTGGAAAAATTATTTAGAAAATTCGAAAAATTATCATAGCTCTTTTTAGCTGCTGCAACCCGATGCATCTAATGACCAGGAGCGAAAGAAGCAGCTGAAGGAGGTGCCGCATACGAGTGCTAAAAAGAAGAAGAAGAATAAAAGGGCCAGAAAGGAAAGGAGGAAGGATAAAGAACACAAGCCGGAAAAGGTAAGAGAATGGATTATGCGAAATTGATTCATCATGGCCAGCCTCTTTTGGACTGCTTCAACTAGCCGGCGTCTTTTTCACCTGTTTCTTTCAGGGCACCGACAAGAAGGCGAAGAATAGGAAGAAAAGGAAGACAAAGCATAAGGTCCGGGCTGCGGTGTCGTCAGAGAAATTTACGGTATCGCGGTCCGCAACGGGTCTTGCTAGCTTGCCCTTTTAGGGTCCCGCTCCCCTCTATGACGAGGCGCGAATGGCGAACACCGACCTCGACAAGTCCGAGATGCTCTTTGAGGGAAAATCGGCCCCCAGCTACGACGAGGTAATTTTTGCATTTCTAAAAAAAACTTGTAAGGCCCCGATGTTTGGAAGATGTAAAAAAAAACAGTTTAAAATACGCCCTCGACTTACATTGATAAAATCGGAGCCTAAGGAGAAAGGCGGCGAAACGAACGAAACGAAAATTAAACTGCAACGGCCTGAAAAATTAACAAAAATATGGCGTTTTGAGGTACTTGAAACCGAAATTTGTCGAAATTTACGACGCTTTGACATGATCGGTGTAAACTGTCGTATCAGTGTCTGGTTTTTCTAACATAAATAGAGTGATTGTTTCTTGAATACTGATGAACCCAATTATCTAGCGCCGTAAGGGGGCGTCGAGTCCAGCTGGGGAACGGTTTATTTTAGCGGGGATGGTAGCCAACTTTTCTTTGTTTAGCCTATGCCTAGCTAGTGCCAAAATTTAGTTTGTTCTACAAGCGTTTTTCGTAGTTTGGCCTAGCGAAAATTATTAGAGAAGCAGCTCCAAATCAAGTCCTTCGTAATACGCAATTTTATGCCATTAATTACAGCCGACCGACTGTTCTCCTACGACGTCCAAGACGGCCAGGAACGTGTCGTCTCCTCTCACTCCAACAATGGCCCAAACAGTCTCCACTTCTTCCACGCCCACCACGGCTCCGACGGTGTCCTCGCCAATCATTACAACCACGGCCACCATCGAGCCGGTTAAGGTTGAGCAAGAGTACGGAATGCAATGCCTGGTTTGTTGTCCGAATTTTTCCCTATTTGTCCAGAACTCCGCGGTCAAAACAAACAAAGATTTTTGTTGAAATTTGGGCAAAAAGATCGACGATTCGTGCTCGAAAAATCTATATTTTTTATGTCATCTAAGACGTTGTGAGTCGAAACTCGTGGAAAATTTGTAAAGATTCGACGCTCAGGAATAGCAAAAACTGTTTAGAAACATGTCCTCTATTCATATTAGAAACACTGGATCCTAGGCAGGAATTTGGTCCCCCCGATATGGCGCCATTACCCAATACGAAGTATTATATTCGATTAATTGCAGGAAAATCGACACGAAATGCCCCTCGACAAGAACGAGACGAGTTTCTGGACCCGGATTCTACTGCTCGGATGTGCCGTGTTCCCATGTTGTCGGAAGCTACCCATTGAAGTTCGAATTTCTCGGTGTCTCAATTCGAATCTCCCAACTACTCACTTCTAGCCTCCCCTTCCTCAAAAAAATCCCCGAATTTCAGGAATGTGCTGTACCCGACGATGTCGAGGTGTTGCCCCGAACTACCGTCATCGATGAAAAAGAAAAGCATCCAGAAAATGCCCCCAAGGTATCGCTTTTCTAACTGGAAAAATTATTTAGAAAATTCGAAAAATTATCATAGCCTTTTTTAGCTGCTGCAACCCGATGCATCTAATGACCAGGAGCGAAAGAAGCAGCTGAAGGAGGAGCCGCATACCAGTGCTAAAAAGAAGAAGAAGAATAAAAGGGCCAGAAAGGAAAGGAGGAAGGATAAAGAACACAAGCCGGAAAAGGTAAGAGAATGGATTACGCGAAATTGATTCATCATGGCCAGCCTCTTTTGGACTGCTTCAACTAGCCGGCGTCTTTTTCACCTGTTTCTTTCAGGGCACCGACAAGAAGGCGAAGAATAGGAAGAAAAGGAAGACAAAGCATAAGGTCCGGGCTGCGGTGTCGTCAGAGAAATTTACGGTATCGCGGTCCGCAACGGGTCTTGCTAGCTTGCCCTTTTAGGGTCCCGCTCCCCTCTATGACGAGGCGCGAATGGCGAACACCAACCTCGACGAGTTCGAAATGCTCGTTGAGGAACAGCCGGCCCCCAGCTACGACGAGGTAATTTGTGCATTTCTAATAAAACTTGTAAGGCCCCGATGTTTGGAAGATGTAAAAAAACAGTTTAAAATACGCCCTCGATTTACATTGATAAAATCGAAGCCTAAGGAGAAAAGCGGCGAAACGAACGAAACGAAAACTAAACTGCAACGGCCTGAAAAATTAACAAAAAGATGTCGTATCAGTGTCTGGTTTTTCTAATATAAATAGAGTGATTGTTTCTCAACTGTTTTTTACTGTTCATAAACATAGAAATCATTACACTTTTTCATTATCTTGTTTGGACCCAAATTTCCCAGAAATTTTCCAAAGTTTCAAACTTTTTCTGCTTGAAATTTTAATAAGCTTGGCCAAAACACTATTGCAATACTTAATGTTGCTTTACGAAGCATTTTTGGACTTGTAGGAAAAAGGGTGGGGCTGCCCTCCTTCGATTTTGCGAAAGCACCAGCTTTCCACAAATGTTATTAATATTTGATGGCTTCCTAGAAATCAAAAACTACTAAACACTGTAAATTTATCGGCAGTAAAATTTCAATTAGCTCCCCGGCCACCACTAAACGGGTAGCATCGTAAAAGGCGGGGGCGGGCACGCTAGCGTATTGCAAGCGTACTGCGGCGGAAAACTGTATCTACATTTTAGGCGTGCATGATCGAAAATCCGGATGGTCGCGTGCAAGCTGCAGGAGATGCCCGCCGCAAGAAGGATTACGACAAAGTACGGTTAACCTTTGAAATTGAAAGGAATTCGGGTTCTGTCGCACTATCGAGACGGCGGGGATCTTTTTCGGGGGTTCTTTTTGGTTGGAGATATGGCCTGCTTTGGTGGAAAAAGGGACCGAATTTTTTTTGTATGAGTCTAGCTAGACATGCCTAATAGGTTAAGACAGTGTTTTGATGGTGCTGGATTAATAGATAGCATATTAAACTAGTAAAACTATCTTAAAACTTTCTAAAATGTTGAAAAGTCGACAAACATCGGCCTTTTTGGTCGAAAAATCGCTTGTTTTGATGCTTTTTAAGAAAAATTGGTAAAGTTTTCACGTTGATGAATAGTAAAAAAAGCCATTTAGAAACACCTCCATCATTCATATTTGAAAAATGAGATTCGAAGAAAAAAAAGTTGGTTCCTCCGCCGGAAATGCGAACGAATTTTTTTTGTATTTTTTAATAAAATTGGATCCTTAGGAAAAATTTGGTTCGCGCCGCTAGAGGGAAAGAACCGTTCTGGCGCACACGGAACGCGGAACGCAATTTTCTGGTTACTCCCCGGTACAACACCACTTCAGAAGACTCGTCGAGCGATTCGGGAGGGTCGATACCTTGGAGGGCATGGCAAGGTGTCGAAAGAAGAACTTGAGGAGGTAGCAATTTTTTTACTACTAAATGAAGTCCAACAGATAGTAGAAGGCCACATATGGAAGGCGCGGTTCATCTCGTTGGAAGCTAAAGCATTGGCTGCAGCCGCAGACAAAATTGCCGACGAGGTGTGTTTTGTATACAAATAGAGTATATAATTAGTATAACTTTTTCTACTTTGATGATTGGCTTTGCAGTTTGGAATAGGTTAAAAAGAAGCCCTATCTAAGTAGGACAATTCGCTCGTGAGGGAAAAATTGGTTCTGGACTGTTAGCGGAGGGGGGCATTTTTACAGGGGGCGGGGGGCAAATCCACTTTTTGTGTTTCCACCATTTTATAGTATTTTTGGTAGTTATTTATTGCTAGATAGTTACAAAATATTGTAAAAAATTTTAAAATTCGAAGATTTTGACCTTTTTTGTTCATTTTTGTACATTAGTGAGCAAAAAGTCAAAATTTTTGTGGATTTTTTAGAGAATCACAGGGAAAAGTTTCGTCCCCCGCTAATAGTCCAGAACTGAAAATTGTGACCCCTGCCCACCGTTTATGCGTGCTCAGCCATTACACCACGCTATCATTGCGGAACGACTTGCTTTATTTGCAGATGGAGATTTATGAGCAGAAACTGGCCGGCCGGAAAGAAAAAATTGCGTCATTGAAGGAGCAGGTCAATCCAGACACAAAACCCAACCGCATTTCTCTTTTTAGTTACGAAACAAGGAGAAGGAACTTCGGCGGAAAACCGGAAAGCGGGAGGTAGAACCACCTGGTGTCCCAATATTGCGCCAGCGAGCTCCGATCCAGCCGTAGATTTGCAGATGGGTGGCAAAGTGTGTGCGTGTGCGTGTGTGCGTGTGCGTGTGTGCGTGTGCGTGTGTGTGTGTGCGTGTGCGTGTGCGTGTGTGTGTGTGCGTGTGCGTGTGCGTGTGCGTGTGCGTGTGCGTGTGCGTGTGTGCGTGCGTGTGCGTGTGTGCGTGTGCGTGTGCGTGTGCGTGTGCGTGTGTGCGTGTGCGTGTGTGCGTGTGCGTGTGTGCGTGTGTGCGTGTGCGTGTGTGCGTGTGCGTGTGCGTGTGCGTGTGCGTGTGCGTGTGCGTGTGCGTGTGCGTGTGTGTGTGAACTGCTTAAAACTGTCAGCCCACTAACTGCAGTGTTACCCTGGCCCCACTTTGCAGATTTTCGGCCCGATCGCAGCTCTCTGACCCAATTTGTTTTGGACAGACATTGCTTTTTCATTCCAGTTTCTTTCGCAATATCGGGGGGGCGGGACCGTTTTTTCCGTCCATTCCAGAGAGGCCTAGTAACCTAAGCGTTTTTGGTAAAATTTAAGTTTGTTGCAAGTTGAAAAGCATATAAAAAAAAACTTACAAAGACACGTTTTTTAGTGCCCGTCGAGTTTCCGTACGGGGCCAAGACTATCTTGTGCAGAATTTTGCGCTGATTCCGCACCTGGTTTCCAGGTCTGCGAAACGATCAGATTCAAGAAGTTATGAAGCCTTTCAGGGTGGGAAAGGCAAAAATTTGCTGAAATTGAGCCATTTTGAGGTTTTTTCGCTATTAAAACTTGAATAACCTTTTGAATATGATCGTTTCGCAACTTACGAAAATGGCTTCAGCATCAGTGCAACAGCTTGCACAAAGTAGATTTACTTTAAACCCCGATTGTAAGGTACAATCGGGGTTTAAAAAATCTTTGCCAGAAAAGCTGCTAGAACAATGCGATTTTGCCAAATTGCCAAAAAAACAGCGCAGAAACACTGCCTCTGTTTATATTAGGAAAATTGGACGGAAGAAAAAGCCCCCCCCCCCCGATATTGCAAAACACCATGTTTTTAGCTGGACGACATCGACGATTTCGTCATAAATGAGGTAGATATTCCCAAGAATTTTCTCTGATTTCACGTAATTTAGTACCTCCCTACGCCGATAACCGCTACATCATCGCCCGCGACGGTAGCGTTTTACCAGATAGAATAAGTGCTCCACAGTGCTCTGGTTCAAGTCTGCGTTCGGATAGAGCGTCGAAAAATTTACTAGGAAATTTTGATTTCAGCCGAATTGGCTTAATTTAAAATTATTACTTGATTACCACCGGCCGGAAATTTATTATTTAACGTCGTCGTAAATTACGTTTTTTCCGGATGAAATTGTGTAAATGTATTTGTATAATTTTTGCGTTTAATATTTGGGGCATCGGTAAGAACAGGGACGTAGCGTAAGGTGGGCCCCCTGGGCCCGGGCCCCCGAAATCGGCCGGGGCCCAAAAATTTCATAAGGGGGGACCCTTATGATTTTTATTTTCTCAAAAATTTTGCTGCCTGCGGCGCTATTTTTTTCACGTTTTTACTGCTATTGATAGAGCTAAGTAGCCTTTTTTCCAAAATTTTTCGCCTGCGGCGCTGTTTTTTCGTTAATTTGTTGAGTTTTTCGGAAAAAATTTTTCGGGGCCCCCCCCCCGAAATTTTTTTCTGGCTACGCCCCTGGGTAAGAACTACGGAAATCGAAGATTGACTGGTTGCTGGGTTCTTTGGCATTATCGGAGGGGGAATCACTGGGAAATGCCAAAACGCCTAGTAACTTAATAGGCAGTATCTTTATAATGTTTTAGTAAAATAAAACTATATTTTTACTAGAAAAACTTTCCAAGAACTGTGTAAAATTACCAAAAATCGACGTTTCGGTCAAAAACGGCCCTTCTTGGGCGTAAAATTTGCATTTTTGCAAAATTTTGCATTTTTTTAATAGGAATTTATAAATTTATAAGGTTAGGCTTAGGATTCCCCAAAAACCATTTAGAAACGCTTCCGCTATTCATATTTAAAAAATTTGTTCCTAAGAAAAGAAATACGATCACCCCGATAATGCGAAAGAACCTGTTTATGAGCCTCGACCAGGGTTAAAAACAGCGACGCGGTTTTTCAACCTTGGTGTATTCTGAACCACTTTGCTAAAATGGTTTTTTAGCCGCTGTGTCGCGACCCTCAACACATCTTTCCACAACAGGTAAGCAATTCTCCAGGGGGCCACGAGCTCCAATACTTGATCGGGCACACTTTACTTTGTAGAAGATCACCGACCCGCCGGCCCGGACTGACAACAACGGAACCGCACCTCCCTCTTCTCCAGGGATCCGCACAGCTGTATGTCAATTCATGATGCCGAATTTCATTACCTCGAATAATCATCACGTCGAAAGTAACAATTCGGAAATTTGGTTCTTGCGCAATATCGGGGGGGGGGGGCAACTTTGTTCCCATAATCCCGGAAATGGGTTCTGTTCTATTTCGCGGGGGGGAAAAAACTGTGCGGGGGGGAAATTTTCCTAGTTTTTTTATAACTCTTTTATATGATGCTATTTTGAATTGCAATTAAAACTCTTAGTATATTTTTTGACGCTCTATCGAATGGCTTTAAAGAAATTTTTGAAAGTTATCGAAAATGTCGAAAACTAGCTTTCGACAACACGATCCCATGTGGAAACACCGAATAAACCTTGTTTTTGCTATAACTATTTTATAAAACAATATTTTTAGATGAAATTAAAACTCTTAGTATATTTTTTGATGCTCTATCGAATGACAAGTTCAAAATATCGAAAAAATGTCCAAAAATGCCGAAAACTAACATTCCGGAAGGAGTTTCAATAGTTTTTTTTGTTTTTGCTGTAACTTATTTATATTACAATATTTTTAGCTAAAACAAAAACTCTTAGTATATTTTTTGATGCTCTATCGAATGGCGTTGCAAAAATCCCGAGAAAATAGCGAAAAAATGCAAGGTCCGCGAAACATATTTTCCCCCCCGCACAGTTTTTTCCCCCCCGCGAAATAGAACAGAACCCGGAAATGATTAGTAGCTCAAAGGGACATTCCGCTCTCGTTGATAATTTCAAGACCTTGAAGTAGTCAGCACTTTAGCATGCAAGGTTACGCTAGGTATCGTAGGACATATATCAGAATTGACCTATTTTCGACGTTAAATTTAGGCTTTTTCTTTAAAAAAGTTGAGGAAAATATCGAAATCCGGCGCTTGGACCCGGTTTTCAAGGACTGTTTTTGTTATGACTTTTTTATATAGCAACCAGCGTCCAAAACCCGCTTCGCGGGCCATGGGCGCTGGAATGCGGCCCTTGCATGAGAAATTGACTTTCCGATAGCTTGGGTCCTTCGGACCACCCCCTTCCCCAACCGACCACACACGCGAGCGCAACTTCAAGAATGAGGAAATTTCAATTTTCGCATTATGCAAATTAGCCTTCAAGGACCCCCAAAAATGAATAAAACCGGCGTTAGCTTTGTAAACTTGTATTTTATCGTAATTCGGAGAACGCCATCGGAAACAGGAGGGTCGATTCCCCGGAGTGACGGAGAATTAGGGCATTTTATGCACGGGAAGGCCCTGAAATCGGGCCTCGAAACTGACATCCAGACACACACACACACACACACACACACACACACACACACACACACAGAGAGATGCATGCCAAAATTATATAAGGTAGGATATTTATAGCAATATTTTGAGCTATGATTGAAACTTACAGTAGTTTTTTTGACGCTCTATCTAATGGCTAAAAACACCCGCAAAATAGTGGAAAAATCGAAAATTTTAGCGGGGGGCGGGGTGGGGGAAGGTAAACCGTAGCCGAATTTTGACATTTAGATATTTAAATATTTTGAAAGGGCCGGTATTATTTTTCACCGTTCAGACCCAACTCAACTCGACGCCGATCCTCACTGCCGCTGCTCGGAACCCCCAGAATCACCATCCGACTGCCGCCGTCGTTGCTACTGCTCCGGTAGGTCGCTATAACAAAATATAAAAACCTTAGTATCGTGTTTTAAGCAGTTTTTCGTTATATGAAGACCCAGCAAAAATTGGAAAATGGTTTGAAGGTTTTTGACCTTTTAGTCAAAATGTATGATTCACCATATGAAAATGCCCTCAAAAGGTCAAAAATTCCAAATTTTGTAAAACTATCTTCTAAATTTTTTTTGGCGGGGGGGGGCGGCGGTTTCAGAAATCGAAAAATACTCAAAACATTGATAAAAATCCATGATAAATTATCACATTGATATTTTGCTTGGTATATTCTCAAAAAACCGGGTTTTTCGGGCTGTTTCAAATTCTATTGTAGTTTTTGCCATCATTTTTCTGTGTTGCGTTGTTTTGAGCGCGTAGTAGCGTAGCCTACGTCAGCGAACTGAAAAAGCGGAATAAGGCCAAAAACCATGTCACGGTGATACAAGTTTCTATGAAATATATGTTTTTCCTGTATTCCGCTTTTTCAGGGAAGCCGGCCGAACAAGAATTGAACTCCATTGCCTCCAACTAGACCTCGACTACTACCACAAAAGCCTTAAATCGACACGTGTATTTCATTTCCTTTGCTGCTGTGTGTCCTTTGTTTTTTGAACAAATAAATCTCTGGGTGATGTTACAGGCGTACAGGCGTTATTTGCGCCAGGAAGCGTGTAAAAGTTACCAGAATTCGCCTCGGCTACTGTTTTACGACACGAACGTAGCGCGTACAGGGTGTCCCAAAAAAAAAACTTTTACGTCTTTTGTTCCTGTCTTTTTGTCGCAAATTTTTTTGACTTACGAAAAGGCCGTTGATATTGGGAGTTGTGAGCGCGACAACGTCCGAAATGAGCCTTTTAATGTGTCGTATGCAAATGAGTGCAGTAAAATAGGCTCCCTGTTACCCCTAGATCCCTATGATAATGATTTTGGCGCTTTTTTCGTGTGGCTGAAATTCATAGTTAGCCCCAATTTTTTCACATGCAGTCTAGGCTCTCAATAATCAACTGTATTAGCGGTTTCGATAGTTTTTAATTTCGTTTTATAAAAATCAAAAAAAATATAAAAGCTACTTGGCTATATGGAAAGAAAAGAATACAGGGTGTCCCAAAAAAAAGCACCCCCCTCTAGCGGCGCGCAGTCGTGTCCGATTTCCATCGTTTAGGTATCTATCGAAAGCTCTTGAAAAGGCGAGAAAACAAGGAGGGTTCATTTTCTTTATTATGTATTTTTATTAGCAAATTTTACGTCCAAAAACCATGAAAACGGCAGATTTACGCGAGATCTGCATGCTAATCGCGAAATTCCTATTGGAAACCTACCTGTTTTTTTAGAAAAACGTTGAATATCCAGCGTATAAAAATAAATCTCATAAAATGAATCCCGCTTGTTTTCTCGCCTTTTCGCGGGCTTTCGAATGGTATGAAAATTATCCCGATCTGAGCCTCCCCCGGACCGCTAGAGGAGGGTGCTTTTTTTTGGGACACCCAGTAGACAGCCTAACTCCCATCATATGTTCGGTGTTTTTGGATCTGCGTTCATATTTTCGAAACTCTTATTTTCGAAACTCATATTTTGGAAACCCATATTTGCGAAACCCAGATTTGCGAAACTCATATTTTCGAAACTCATATTTTCGAAACTCCTATTTAAAGCTCTGCATGGGCATATGTAACCAAAGAAAACCTAAGAAAATATGAGTTTCGAAAATATGAGTTTCGAAAATAAGAGTGCCCACCAATGTCTAAAAAACGAAAAACTGATCTTAATTTCTTCTTTCAGATGAAATATAATAGCCAAAATTGGTTTTATGTAAAATCGGCGTTATAATAGTCAGCATTATGAAAATCGGCATTCTGTAAATTGAATGTAAATATCAATTTAATGATAGTTCTATCATTTCAGGTGCCCAAGAAGAAACGGGGCCGACCCAAGGAATACCGAGTGAGTTAGAATGCGTGGCGCCCTAAAGCTCATCTAGGATGGGTGGTGCACAGTATGCCCGCGGGAAGAAGGAAAGAAGCCGGTTTCCACCTACTACAGTGCGCCTGCATGTGCGGATTGTGTTAAAATATTTAGGTTTGTCACTTTTCTTTTTTTGATTTCCCGGTAGACAGACAGAGTGTCCCAAAAAAAAGCGAACCATCTGGCATTTTGACGTGTTACATCCAATTCGCCCCAAATTTGGACCAGATCATATCAGACCCTAAATAACCACAGGCCTGACTTTTAGCCTCGTAGCTATAATAGTTCACGAGTTATAGCAAAAATGAACTTTGAAAATGAAAATGTTTCGGTAGACCTTCTTCACACTAAGATATTTTGTCCGGACTTTATCAAATAAGCTTCGATTTAAGCAATTTGACAACTCAAAATTACCCACGTTTTTGAAGGGCTGCCGACGGCATGTGTCGACAAATTGGCCCCCCTCCCCATCAAGAAATTGGCAAGAAGCCAACAGGGCCGAGAGCGCGCCCTGGGGAGAGACGCAGAGACATTTTCTTTCCAGCGCGTAACCGATTGACTATGCCGTCGGCATCCCTTTAAGCGAAATTAGGGATCCGCAGCCGGAAGGCGCTACAAATGGTTGCAAAGTCCAAGAAGAGAGCGGAAAAAAGCTGTTTAGGATAGAAAAAAACAAAAACAGTATTTTCGTTATAACTCTAAAAAAAACGACTGTAGCTTTTGAGCCATAAGACAGGATTGTTGTTATTTAGGGTCTAATACACCTCTGGTCCAATTTTGGGCCCGATCAGCTGTAACACGGCGTGGTTCGTTTTTGGGACACCTTGTACATAGTATACCGGGGGGGGGGCTCCAAGTTTTCCTACCTTATATATTTTCGGCATGTACGTTTGGGTTCACAGTTCGCCAACAGCACCCATTTAGCCTATTAAATAATTTATAAATAAATAGCTGCCTAAGTTCAAAAAGTAAAAACTGTGCATGGCCGGAGATTCGAACCAGTGACCTCTGGATTGAGAGATTGACTTCGATAGAGGCACTGCCTCTATCGAAGAGCATCATAAGGGAGGGAGGGGGGGGGGGTGAAAATGACGACAGAACTTTAAATGCTCATAAATTTTTTGTATTTATCGTTTAGCACATTCTGACCAGATATTCAGAATCCCCGTCGGCAACCTTATCTGTTTCATATAGAATGATCCACAAATTGGTGCTAAGCGATTTGCCAGGACCCATATTTGCACTTCCCTGGTGGGGGGGGGGGGGGTTCAGGTGGGTAACGTAACCCGTAGCCCCTAATTTTTCCTGAAGCACATTTTACCTTTACAGTCGGCTGTCGATCCGAGCCAGAAAGTCGCCGGGCTGCTCGACACCATATTGTAGTGCAGGACGTGGGTTTCATTTCAAAAGGACAGGCCATTTTAACCGATTTTGTTTTAAAAACCAGTTCGGAACACTTCCAATATTTGTATTTCAAAAATTCGATCCTAAAAGAAGCTGATTAAATTTGATCCTAAGAAAAAAGTCCAAGTCCGGGAGCGGCTCTCTATCCATTTTTTTACAGGACCCTGCAACTGGTGCCAATTTGAGGAGTGGGTGTCGATGGGATTCCGTTCGAAACCGCCGTCTGCCGATGATTGACGGATCATCGACCGATTCATGAATTTTATAGGCTGACTATTGACTACGTAGTGATGTTCTGGGAATTGTCTTTTGTGGGTGTATCTGTCTTTTTCGTTACTGATTCTGCCATTCCTATGAATGTCTCAAATAAATCTATTTATTAGAGTTTGAGTTGAAGTTATTGCCGAAAAGACGGAATAAACAGAAGCAGCAACAAGAAGTGCAGAATTCAAGCGCGTAATAGGAGAAAAATTTCGGAAGAAGAGAGGGCCAGCCAACCGAGAACATTTGGGAATCAGAGAGGGCCAGCTAGCAAAGACCATTTGGGAAGGTGAGAGGGCCAGCTAGCAGAGACCATTGGGGAAGGGGTTGGGCCAGCTAGCAGAGACCATTGGGGAAGGGGGTTGGGCCAGCTAGCAGAGACCATTGGGGAAGGGGTTGGGCCAGCTAGCAGAGACCATTGGGGAAGGGGGTTGGGCCAGCTAGCAGAGACCATTTGGGAAGGTGGTTGGGCCAGCTAGCAGAGACCATTTGGGAAGGGGAGAGCGCCAGCTAGCAGAGACCATTTGGGAAGGGGAGAGCGCCAGCTAGCAGAGACCATTTGGGAAGGGGAGAGCGCCAGCTAGCAGAGGCCATTTGGGAAGGGGAGAGCGCCAGCTAGCAGAGACCATTTGGGAAGAAAGTTGGGAAACCTAGCTTTATTTTCGCTACGCCCCAGGGGTTGGCTGGTTGTTCGGCCCACACCTCCTATGTAGGAGGAAACGCAAGACGGTATGTGCCAAGCTAACGGGCGAGGCACAAGCGGAAAACCACAACAACAAGAATGTCAAGGCGGTGTGGGGAAGCTCAAATGCTCAACGTTGTGGGCAAAAGAGTGTTACAAGTTTATTACATGATAAAACTACGATGGGGAGAGACGGAGAATGAGAAGTAGTGGGGAGAAAGGAAAATTTACGCCGAGGTTTCAGAACTTCGTCTCATGGAGACGAAAGATTGAGCTCGACAGACGGGGGAAGAATACACAGAGAAAAGAGGAGGGAGAAGGTTAATAAGGCGGGGAGGAAATACAAAAGACGAAGGCTAAAAACCACAACAACCGAGGTCGAAGTGGGGGAAAACAAAAGGCAAAAAGGCGGGGAAAGAACACAGAGACATGGGCCAACGTGTGGCGAAAACATAAGGCGAAAGGCGGGAAAAGCGGGAGAACACGAAAACCTAGGTTAACGTGGGTGAAAAACATAAAAGCAAAAGGCGGGGGAAACGGAAACGTAAAACACAGGGGGAATTAATAAAAGAAAAGGAAAGAGAGAAAGAGGGAGGGGGGAAGAGAGACGGGAGGAAGAGGAAGACAGGGAAAAGCGAGAGCCCGGAAAAATGACGAAAAGCCAGGCTCACTAGAATTTGGTGGGCCGGCGGGTGGAGAGAGGACGGGGTACGGGCGCAACGAGTTGCGCGTCGTACAGGGCAAAAACAGGGGGGAAAAGGGAAGGGGATTCCAACTACCCTCCCCTCGGGAGCGGAGGTCCCTCGACGCAAAGAAAGGTGACGGGGTGACGAGCTTGACTTGACGTAGGCGACGTTGGCTTGGCACAAACGGGCACGGCGCACGCATCCTTCCTTCCTTCAGTACTTGCGAATTGTCCTTGGAGAAGTCGCGAAGAGACGCGCTTGTCCTTGCACTGAAGTCGACTTGGTCCTTGAGGGAGGGCGAAGAGGCGAGCTTGAACACGACTTTGATCTTGAATTGAAGTCGGCGAAGAGTCGAGCTTGATTCCTTGGATGAAGTCGGCTTGCGCTGCGCGAGGTCGACTTGGGCACGCTTGACTTGAATCCTTGCGACGTCCGTGATCCGAGCAGGGTAGGCGGGTAGGGTAGTGGAAATACAAATGAACGGGACAGGGCCAGAGGAGAGGGGAATAGCGAAAAAAAACAATGCGAGCGAAAGAAAAGGCTTAATTCTTGCTTGACGGCGAACGTGTAGACAGGCATGGCAACTTGACGGCGAACGTGTAGACGGGCACGGCGCACAGGCAGCAGTCGAGCAGCTTGACCATGTAGACGAGCACGAGCGCGGGCAGTAGTTGAACACGGGCACCTTGACATCCTTGAACGCGAACATCGTGTAGTCGAGCATGTAGGTGTGCACCGGCGGCTTGAAGTAGATCGAGTAGTTGTACACGCACATCTTGAAGTCGAGCAGGTAGTTGTACACGAACATCTTGATGTCGAAAACATTCCTTGCGCGCGAGCGTCATGTTCTCGGGCAGCATGACGTCGGGCAGCGGGAAGTTGTCTTTGCAGAAGAGATCGTCCCATTTGACGGCCGATGTTGAAGCCGTTGAACGCGTGTTGGCTACGCGGCTTGATTCCTTGACCTATTCAGGGCCCTTGGTTGCGGAATACCCTGAAAAAGGAATATTAGACAAAGTTCGGATATTGAAAACCGAAACATGAGGACAAGAACGCAATCACGTCGAAGAATAGCAAATGCAGCGCGAAATTCTTTCATTTTGCGCGCGATGCGACAGGTTTTGGGGTTGCGAAATTCAAAAACGTTTGAATCGCGGAAGAATGGGCGCAACTTTCTGAAAAACATTTCAAATTTCTTAGCTAGGGAAATTTGAATGCTTTTCACGCGTCATTTTTCGAAATCTCCTTTTGAGATTCCAACTAGAAGAGAGGGCCAGCTAGCTGAGAGACCATTTGGGAAGGAGAGAGGGCCAGCTAGCAGAGACCATTTGGGAAGGAGAGAGGGCCAGCTAGCAGAGACCATTTGGGAAGGAGAGAGGGCCAGCTAGCAGAGACCATTTGGGAAGGAGAGACTGCCAACTAGCAGAGACCATTTGGGAAGGGAGAGACTGCCAACTAGCAGAGACCATTTGGGAAGGAGAGAGGGCCAGCTAGCAGAGACCATTTGGGAAGGAGAGACTGCCAACTAGCAGAGACCATTTGGGAAGGAGAGACTGCCAACTAGCAGAGACCATTTGGGAAGGAGAGAGGGCCAGCTAGCAGAGACCATTTGGGAAGGAGAGACTGCCAACTAGCAGAGACCATTTGGGAAGGAAGTGGGTCCATCTGGATTTGGAATCTGACGCTACAATCGAAGGTTTATCATTGGAAACAGCAAAAAAAGACGAGATCGGCTTGGCTTTTGGCGCAGGGGTCGGAGGTTATTCGAGGCTCCAAAACGGCCGTATGGTAGCATTGCGTAGTGGCTTGCCCCGTCGGCTAGGCCGTCTTCCGGTTCGTGACGCCTGGCTATCGTTGCTGCTGAAAATCAGCTGCTTTTCGAGCATGGGGGCGAAGGTTATTCGAGGCTCCAAGTCGGCTGTATACGGCTCTAAAAAAGCACTCTGCGTGGAAATAAAAGCACCCTGGCCGAGGGTGGGGTGCTCCAGAAAGCACCCCGGGGTGCTTTCGGAAGCACCCCAGGGGTGCCTTTTGGGGTGCTCTGTGGGGTGCTGTCTGGGGTGCTTTTTGCCAATGACCGCAATATATCAACTAGGATATTTTGATCGAACCAGGAGATGAACATCATTTTCGAGTAGTTCGCACAACTCGGCGCCAATCCGGTTGCAACCCATTTGGGGGTCGTTTGATAGCATTTCTTCGAGGTTGTTGAACACGGCGGACGATTTCCGGGACGTTTTTTCTAACCGCGCTAGCAGCCTGGGCAAAGCTGCGCGAGAGCTAAAACTTCTTGGGCAGATAAAACGTTTCGCGCTCTTTCGAATGGTGCCCTTCGCGATCCAGGATTCGCAGCGCAAATCGAGATATGATGGTTTTAGTGCGGCGAAAATTTCGTCAGGTATCGATTTTTATCTTCAAAGAATCGATTTTTATCTTCAAAGAATCGATTTTTATCTTCAAAGAATCGATTTTTATCTTCAAAGAATCGATTTTTATCTTCAAAGAATCGATTTTTATGTTCAAAGAATCGATTTTTATCTTCAAAGAATCGATTTTTATCTTCAAAGAATCGATTTTTATCTTCAAAGAATCGATTTTTATCTTCAAAGAATCGATTTTTATCTTCAAAGAATCGATTTTTATCTTCAAAGAATCGATTTTTATCTTCAAAGAATCGATTTTTATCTTCAAAGAATCGATTTTTATCTTCAAAGAATCGATTTTTATCTTCAAAGAATCGATTTTTATCTTCAAAGAATCGATTTTTATCTTCAAAGAATCGATTTTTATCTTCAAAGAATCGATTTGCAGAGCTAGCAGAGACCATTTGGGAAGGAGAGAGGGCCAGCTAGCAGAGACCATTTGGCAATCAGAGAGGGCCAGCTAGCAGAGACCATTTGTGAAGGAGAGAGGGCCAGCTAGCAGAGACCATTTGGGAATCAGAGAGGGCCAGCTAGCAGAGACCATTTGGCAATCAGAGAGGGCCAGCTAGCAGAGACCATTTGGGAAGGAGAGAGGGGCCAGCTAGCAGAGACCATTTGGGAATCAGAGAGGGCCAGCTAGCAGAGACCATTTGTGAAGCAGAGAGGGCCAGCTAGCAGAGACCATTTGGGAAGGAGAGAGGGCCAGCTAGCAGAGACCATTTGGCAATCAGAGAGGGCCAGCTAGCAGAGACCATTTGTGAAGGAGAGAGGGCCAGCTAGCAGAGACCATTTGTGAAGGAGAGAGGGCCAGCTAGCAGAGACCATTTGGCAATCAGAGAGGGCCAGCTAGCAGAGACCATTTGGGAAGGAGAGAGGGCCAGCTAGCAGAGACCATTTGGGATGGAGGGAGGGCCAGCTAGCAGAGACCATTTGGGATGGAGGGAGGGCCAGCTAGCAGAGACCATTTGGGAAGGAGAGAGGGCCAGCTAGCAGAGACCATTTGGGATGGAGGGAGGGCCAGCTAGCAGAGACCATTTGGGAATCAGAGAGGGCCAGCTAGCAGAGACCATTTGGCAATCAGAGAGGGCCAGCTAGCAGAGACCATTTGGGAAGGAGAGAGGGCCAGCTAGCAGAGACCATTTGGGAATCAGAGAGGGCCAGCTAGCAGAGACCATTTGTGAAGGAGAGAGGGCCAGCTGGCAGAGACCATTTGGGAAGGAGAGAGGGCCAGCTAGCAGAGACCATTTGGGAAGGAGAGAGGGCCAGCTAGCAGCGACCATTTGGGAAGGAGAGAGGGCCAGCTAGCAGAGACCATTTGGGAAGGAGGGAGGGCCAGCTAGCAGAGACCATTTGGGAAGGAGAGAGGGCCAGCTAGCAGAGCCCATTTGGGATGGAGGGAGGGCCAGCTAGCAGAGACCATTTGGGATGGAGGGAGGGGGCAGCTAGATTTAGATTAGATTTTTATCTTCAAAGAATCGATTTTTTTCTTCAAAGAATCGATTTTTATCTTCAAAGAATCGATTTTTTTCTTCAAAGAATCGATTTTTATCTTCAAAGAATCGATTTTTATCTTCAAAGAATCGATTTTTATCTTCAAAGAATCGATTTTTATCTTCAAAGAATCGATTTTTATCTTCAAAGAATCGATTTTTATTTTCAAAGAATCGATTTTTATCTTCAAAGAATCGATTTTTATCTTCAAAGAATCGAATTTTATCTTCAAAGAATCGATTTTTATCTTCAAAGAATCGATTTTTATCTTCAAAGAATCGATTTTTATCTTCAAAGAATCGATTTTTTATCTTCAAAGAATCGATTTTATCTTCAAAGAATCGATTTTTATCTTCAAAGAATCGATTTTTATCTTCAAAGAATCGATTTTTATCTTCAAAGAATCGATTTGCAGAGCTAGCAGAGACCATTTGGGAAGGAGAGAGGGCCAGCTAGCAGAGACCATTTGGCAATCAGAGAGGGCCAGCTAGCAGAGACCATTTGTGAAGGAAAGAGGGCCAGCTAGCAGAGACCATTTGGGAAGGAGGGAGGGCCAGCTAGCAGAGACCATTTGGGAAGGAGAGAGGGCCAGCTAGCAGAGACCATTTAGGAAGGAGAGAGGGCCAGCTAGCAGAGACCATTTGGGAAGGAGAGAGGGCCAGCTAGCAGAGACCATTTGGGAATCAGAGAGGGCCAGCTAGCAGAGACCATTTGGGAAGGAGAGAGGGGCAGCTAGCAGAGACCATTTGGGAAGGAGAGAGGGCCAGCTAGCAGAGACCATTTGGGATGGAGGGAGGGCCAGCTAGCAGAGATGATTTGGGAAGGAGAGAGGGCCAGCTAGCAGAGACCATTTGGGAAGGAGAGAGGGCCAGCTAGCAGAGACCATTTGGGAAGGAGAGGGGCCAGCTAGCAGAGACCATTTGGGAAGGAGAGAGGGCCAGCTAGCAGAGACCATTTGGGAAGGAGAGAGGGCCAGCTAGCAGAGACCATTTGGGAAGGAGAGAGGGCCAGCTAGCAGAGACCATTTGGGAAGGAGAGAGGGCCAGCTAGCAGAGACCATTTGGGAAGGGAGAGGGCCAGCTAGCAGAGACCATTTGGGGAGGAGAGAGGGCCAGCTAGCAGAGACCATTTGGGAATCAGAGAGGGCCAGCTAGCAGAGACCATTTGGGAAGGAGAGAGGGGGCAGCTAGCAGAGACCATTTGGGAAGGAGAGAGGGCCAGCTAGCAGAGACCATTTGGGATGGAGGGAGGGGCCAGCTAGCAGAGACGATTTGGGAAGGAGAGAGGGCCAGCTAGCAGAGACCATTTGGGATGGAGGGAGGGCCAGCTAGCAGAGACGATTTGGGAAGGAGAGAGGGCCAGCTAGCAGAGACCATTTGGGAAGGAGAGAGGGCCAGCTAGCAGAGACCATTTGGGAAGGGAGAGAGGGGGCAGCTAGCAGAGACCATTTGGGAAGGAGAGAGGGCCAGCTAGCAGAGACCATTTGGGAAGGAGAGAGGGCCAGCTAGCAGAGACCATTTGGGATGGAGGGAGGGCCAGCTAGCAGAGACGATTTGGGAAGGAGAGAGGGCCAGCTAGCAGAGACCATTTGGGAAGGAGAGAGGGCCAGCTAGCAGAGACCATTTGGGAATCAGAGGGCCTGCTAGCAGAGACCATTTAAGGAAGGAGAGGGCCAGCTAGCAGAGACCATTTGGGAAGGAGAGAGGGCCAGCTAGCAGAGACCATTTGGGATGGAGAGGAGGGCCAGCCAGCAGAGACGATTTGGGAAGGAGAGAGGGCCAGCTAGCAGAGACCATTTGGGAAGGAGAGAGGGCCAGCTAGCAGAGACCATTTGGGAATCAGAGAGGGCCAGCTAGCAGAGACCATTTGGGAATCAGAGAGGGGCCAGCTAGCA